TTTCCTCAGTCTGGAGAATTTCAAATTTTGATTCTCTTTCTAGAATTTTAGCTAATTCAGAGTATGTCGTTAATATCTCCTGAGAAACATCTCAAGATGTTCTTCTTGAAGGATTTGGGTTGGGGGTTGTTTTTTTTTGGGGGGGGGGAGGGGATGTTGGAGTTGAATGGGTGGCAAAATATATGGAAACAGTTTCCAATATATGGCCCTTGGATAACCTACTTCTCGTTGAAATACCTCTTCCTTTGTACATTAATCTTTACCAGATCAAGGCTAATATTTTAAAGGCCTCCGACTTCTATCAATATGACATCAGGAAATATTTTCTTGTCTGTCTTTATTCTGTGTGATCTTTTATGTGCTTGAAAGAAAATCTACTTTTATCATCCATGCCCTTAACAGACACTTACTTGCACAGTGATTTGAACTGCACTCACTAATTTTCATCCTCATACAGATACTGGATCCTATTGATGGTACACGAGGGTTTGTTAAAGGTAGCGAGGCTTTCTATGTGGTATGCTTCTTAATTCCTTTTCCTTTCTGTTTAATATTATTCTTTTATGTTTTTGTTTCTTTTCTTTTTTCTTTTCCCAAATAATTAAAGGAAAAAACAAGAATGAGATCAGCTTATTCTTATTCCCATTTACCGAATCAGCTGCGAATTTCCCGACCCGAAAAAAAAAAAGAGGAACTGGAAAAGAAAGAACTATTTAACACATTTTAAGTTTGTTTTCCACGGAACTGGCCAAGGTATAGGGTAATAGTTTTGAGGGTTACTTCCAACTCATGCCATTCCTCTGCCTGTTGTGCCAGTTAGTTCCCTTGAACTGGGAATGTGGGGCGCAGTGGTGGGGACACATTGGCCGAAGAGTGATCACTTGAATCCCCTATTTCATAAAATTGCATTGTGCATAGGTGAATTATATGCATATTGAAAGGGGAAACAACCTCTCTACATTCACAAGGTAGGGGTAAGGTCTGCGTACACACTACCCTCCCCAGACTCCACCTACGGGATTTCACTGGGTTTCTTCTTGTTGTTGTTGTTGTTGTATTGAAAGGGGAAAACCTTGGGTTTGGAATTATACTGGAGACACAAATGCTGTTAAACTAAAGGCCTCAGTGGTGCCAAAGTTAAACTTATCTGTCCTAAACCTCTTTTGTTCTTTCTATTTTGCCTCAATAGTGCAGAGTGTTTCACGTATCATAATTAATGTTTATGCAAAGAAGAGTGCCTTGATAACTGAAATGATGATGTCATACAACAACAACCCATTAGAATCCCACTAGTGGGGTCTGGGGAGGGTAGAATGTACGCACACTTTACTCCTACCCCGAAGGGATAGAGAGACTGTTTCCCGGAGACCATCGGCTCAGAGACAATAGATCCGAAATGATGATTTCATACACATTATCATAATAGGTTCAGGCGTTATTACTTGGTTCTATAGAATTCTTTTGCTGCTTGGTTAGAGTTGTGTTTTTTCCCTCTTCTCATGCTTATTTGGCCCAGAATATTGTGTCTTTTCAGGTGGGTTTGGCACTTGTAGTTGAAGGACAGATTGTCTTGGGGGTCATGGGCTGCCCCAATTGGTGCGAAGACTGTTCTGAGAATTCTATCGTTGGGATCCAAGAAAATAGTAGTTCCAGATCAGGGATCATCATGGTTTCTCATGTGGGTTGTGGAACATGGACAAAGAGGTTGTCAGACATACTAACCACTGAGTCATCTCACACTTGGACCAGATGCTCTGTTGACAGCTGCCAAATGGTGGAGGGGGCACGGTTTACTATTCCTGAAAGTCAGTCATGGAAATCTTTACCTCTATCGGTTTTGTTTGATGCAAAAAGAGACTCTGAGAACATAGGAGAAGGGAACATACTTCTTCTGTCTGCATGCTGTGGGAGGTGAATTCTTCTCAAAGACATTTCATATTCTTGAAAAATGTGTACTAGATGATGAATGGATGTTTAGATTTGTGATGTGAAATCTTTCTTGCCCGCTGTTGGCATTTGTGGAAGTTTTTACCCCTAAAAGGCTCGTATTTGGTTGATGAGTTTTAATACAGAGGAGTTGAGAAGTTAAAAAAGAAAGTGATACAATGATTTCCTTTGCAAATTGGATCTATATAAGGGTTGGGCTGGGGAAAGGTAGAGGTAAAGAAAATTCGCTCTATAGTAAACTTTTGGTGTCCAAGTTGGAACTTGGTTTTGGTAATCGGTAACAACCATCAACTTATTATGAGAAGATGCTCATTATTCACATTCAGTAGCGATTGAATGCTCTATTTTAATAGCCGAAAACAGAATGCACTCAGAACCATTCTTCAAGTGATTACAAAATTCAGTTCCCTTTTAGACTGAACAGCTGAGTTGTAATTATTTTTGCATTGTTTTCTTTCTTCCTCTTTTGAGACTGCAAATCAAAGTACATCTTCAATTTTCATGATGGTTTTTGCGCATTTATTATATTTCACTTTTGTTTCTAAATTTACAGTTTGTGCAAATATCTGATGGTGGCTTCTGGTAGAGCATCGGTTTACATTCAGGGAAGGAAGGCGACATCTACTATCAAGGTGAAATTATATTCTCGGGTCACTGTGTGTAAAATTAGTAGAGCAATCTGATGGTCATATCCGTCAAATGTAGGTCTGGGACCACGCTGTTGGAATCATATGTGTCCATGAAGCTGGAGGGAAGGTATGCATTTCTCTGTTGACATTTTATTTAACAAACCTTCTTTATCTCTACTTGTTGCAGCCAGTTCTAGAGCAGTCGGCACTGCTGATATATCATTTAATAAAACAGTCAATTAGTTATATTGCATGTAACGACACCCTTTTTGTTTTCCTTTTTTTTTTAAAAAAAAAGTAACATAAAGAACACCCTCGGGTTATGGAGATCTGAAGATATAGCTTATATTTTTTCTTTTCCTTTTTTACTTTTCGTCTGGATACAGTATTTTGAAGGCTTCAACTTTTTAAAGGAAGATTTTGAAAACTTTAGAACTGGTCAGATTCGGGTGGTTGACTCTCGTGGACCACTAGTTCATGCTTTGCTTAGTTTTCCTGGTAAGATAATCTGAAGAATCAAGTGAGGGTCCTAAATACTGATTCACAGAACTTAAAATTCCTTCATTAGAAGACACAAACTTCATTTACTTATGAAGAAACACAAAGTTAAGAGAGGCTCGTTTTATAGCTTTATTTCTAGTCACTGTCTCATAATTCGGAGACTCTGCACCCAGTGATTTCATTCTTGTACTCTTACGGGAAAAACCATAAATAATCAGCCCATATTTGATTTGAGAGATCTGGGAGACTACAATAGCAATAACTATGCCTCAGTCCCAAACAATTGGGATCGGCAATATGAATCCTCACTTCATTCTTTAAGCTCAACTCATATCATCATTATTATCAACAAAGGGCAGATAATCCTTTATTCTGCATTATCCTACCTACGGTTTCCACTTATCTGCTTACTGGCAAGTTATTCACATCCAGACATTTATATTCCCTGACATCAAACAAATGCATTAAGCAGAAGACTTTTTTTTGCTTACTCGATGCAGTATTCACTGGCATCAACTTTCATTCTCTCTATGTTTCTATTTTCATAATTGTTGACGCTATTCACTTCGTAGAACAGGATCCAAAGCAGAGGGCAAAAATTTATTAAGAAGCTTTGATATTTTTCTTTGATTGTGTTCATGGATATGACTTTCACTTTATACTATGTCCTTCAATTTTGGGCAATAGTATTCGATTATAGATCATCCATTCAGAAAACCATAAGCGAGACTAGATTGCTCACTTTCCTGGTTTATCATTGTGTGTCTTGTTAGGTGACCGACTGGGCAGGAGGTTCACTTGATATTGCGGCAGATCAAACTGAACGGAGACTAATCTTTCCCTCAGGCGGTGTTCTTGTGACTAATGGAAGCTTACACAGCAAGATTATTGGAATGATCTCTTCAAATTCATCAGTTCTATGACAGGCATTTTGGCATTAATTGACAGATTATAAAAATACTGAGATACTAAGGACGATTTCTGCCAATTCATCAATTGTTTCATGGCACTTGCATTCTTTTGACAAATCACAGCAGACATCAATTTGTCTCCATTTTCTTCTACCTGGCGGTCATCAGTATCTCTCTCTTTTGTTTTTCATCAATACTTGCTTTTTTATTCTTTCGGTCTCAAATGGCTTGCATACGGATAACGTCCTCCAATTAGTGAAATGCTGTGGAGAATGTTTCATATGTACTGCAGTAAGAATGTATAATCTTATAAATATATATTCTTTTTTTCTTCACAAAGTACAATGATGAAGTGAAGATTTTGCTCTTTTCATCTGTACTGCAGTAGAAATTTTAATTTTTACAAATATATCCTTTCCTCCTTCATAAGGTACTATGATGAAGTGAGGATTTTTTTTTTCTTTTTCAATTTCAGTAAAGAAGTTACTCCCTTGTTATTTTTATTTATCACATATTATTTGTTCTTGGTTACACTATCAGTTTAGAAACTCTCCGCGAGATAGAGTAAATGATAGCTGACCTTACCAACAAGGCACTACAATTGGAGGATGGTGTACATCGGTTGAGAATGTGGTCTATGTAATAGTGTTGTCTAGTACACAAGTATCACATTCAAGTATACCTAATTGTGGTGCTCATGTTAGACGATTTGAGCTCCATAACCTGCTTGGCGCATAAGTAAGGAAGACAACATTGCAGATACTTTCCCTTAGAATAATGCTATGATAATCTTTTTTTGACTAATTAATTTTATGTAATTAAAAAAAGAGATTATCTTAGCCATTATTTTGAGGGAAAGTATCTGCAATGTTGTCTTCCTTACTTAAAGATACCAATCAAAAAACCTGATTGATGACACTTCTTGATTTGATACTGTACTTTGTCGAGATTATGAGTTGTGAGTTGTGAGAATTGCAAGTTAATTTTGGATGTAGAAACTTGCAAAAGGACATCAAGGCCTCACATAACTTGGTGGAAATTGGCCCAAACACCACCGTCATAAATAAATAAAAAATTACACACTGAAGGTACCAAACAATGGCAACATAATCTACTAACCAGCTCAGGTAAATTATCAATTGGTCCTTTCACCCTGAGGCTCATGATGTTGAATTGCCTCTGACGGATCACACTATTGCAACAGGAGGGGGCTTGCCCGTCAACATACTTTGCCAAGAGGTGGCAAGAGCACGATGACCTTAGCCCAAACCTACTTAAACAAACTAAAGGCTCGAACTCTTTCAGCCCAAAAATAAGGGACCTACTTCTTATTCTGGGAATTAAGTGTCCATCCTCTACGGACCAATAAGTAGAGCCAAGGGGTCCCAGAGTAAGGAGCCACTCCTCCCTCAGCTCCCACCTTAATGGCTCGAGCAGGACAAGCAATCTCATTTTCCACATCAGCTCAGCTTACCCTTCCGATCCTTCTGTTTTCATTATTCTCTGGATGCTCTGCCATTTGATTACTATGTTGACAGAAGAAAATCAGGATACAATAATTGCATGACACAGTTAATCGGCTACAAATAGACAGTTACAACTTGAAAGAAAAGGACATAAACTAAGAGTGAAGAACATTACCAGCAGCTATCATTACGGATAAATCGCTCCGCGAGGATGCATGAAACAGCTTTTTGGTCCAGTTGTTTGGCACTAATGCACTGCAGTTGAACAGCACCAACCATGTAGACACATCAATATGTATTAAATAAATATGTCAATATATATTCTCCAAAGAGTTTTCCCGTTAGAGAATACAGAGAGAACCAAACTCTACTGGAGAAAATAAAAAAGAGAAGATCAGGTCCGAATCATGTTGTACATGAGCAGGCTCCGAAAGATCCCATATAAGAATCTTTCAAGCCACAGTGAGACTAAAAGAAAGAGGAGCTGGGAGAGAGCTAGGTTGCCACAAATTGAAAAGAGACGAAATCATGGTCATTTGGTTACCTTGAAAGCTACTTGAGACATTTTTTTGATAACCGAGAAAATACCCCGTGGGGCGTGGGGTGTTCGAAACTTGGTGGATAATCAATCCACCTCTCTACCCTTCTCCACTTAAACACCAACCTTTATCTGCAGTGGATTCGAACCCTTGACGTGAGCCTAACCCACACACACATCACGTACTGCACTCTTACCACTAGACTGTCCTGGAAGCTTGAAAGCTATGTGAGACTTGCTAGTGTTTTTATCTTGATAGCACTTCAAATGCTTGCAAGGTTCATCTGGGGAAACAAAAGACGCACACACTATGAAATGAGCAATGCATGCAAAAATCATCAGCAAGGTAAACTTTAATCGGACTAGCAATCGCCCTACACCTCCCGGAGAAAACAGAATTAATTTCGGAAGACGTCAGAAATGCACAGGTACTATTCCTTATTCCAGAATATTTGAAGTTCACAATATATGATCAAGGTAACACTCAGAACCACCCTTACAAGCAAAAGAGAGGAAGTTTAAACAACCTTTGTTGATCACTAGAGATGTGTTTACAGATGGTCTAAGCTAACCAGTCATCTTTTGACTGATTGGACGAGAGGCAAGTTTACATACTCTAGAAGTTTCAACTTCTAATTGTCTGGTATATGCAGAATCCACATAGCAAGTATATATGCTTCACAGTTAATAACAAATGACTGCAGAGTACTAGTGAGTTTATCGAGAAGATAGCACGACGTTCTTTTTACATTTTCACATAACAGAGTAACACCTAAATGTAATTCTGCTTCCTGAAGGGGAAAAGGGTGCGCTTATTCATTGTACTTAAGATCAATAGATATACCAGATCTGAAGAAAATGGGCACAGATATAGGTCATAGGGAACTTTTGATAAGTGAAAAGAGACATGAATATTAAGGACTATAATTGACCTGAATGACAAAAGATAAATTGACTTTTACTAAGGTTATAACAAAAATATCATCAAGGTAAAGTGTTAATACCTCTATCGGTAAGATATCCAGAGAGGTATTGGTAAGATATCAAGAGCATCTATCTCAAAAATACTGGCAGTTTAATATGTCATCTCCAACTTCTAGAACCTAAAACCTTCTAGAACATAAAATGGGCACCGATATAGGTCATAGGGAACTTTTGATAAGCAAAAAGAGACATGAATATTAAGGACTATAGTTGACCTGAATGACAGAAGATAAATTGACTTTTAAACCAAGGTTATAACAAAAATATCATCAAGGTAAAGTGTTAATACCTCTATTGGGAAGGTATCCAGAGAGGTATTGGTCAGGTGTCCAGAGCATCAATCTCAAAAATACTGGCAGTTTAATATGCCATCTCCAAATTCTAGAACCTAAAACCCTCTTCACCACACTGCGGGCCCTCAATAGCTCCAATTACCAAAAATCATTGCAGGAACAGTCACCATTTGCAAAATGATGAAACCTGTATGCATCCCGTACAACAATGGCTCGATTTGCAACCTTCGATACA